CTTATCTTTCCCAATCAGTGTTGTTCCTGTGGCCACGATTTATTTTTTGAGTGATTTTGATAACTTATTTGGGTGTTCTTTAACTTCTTTTGAGTAGTATATATTAACTTGCACTGGAGACTTTAGATGAATAACTTATCCGAAAAATGTCACACAACTACCAAACGCCTATAATCCGCTGACGCATATGAAACGGGGGCTGATCTCTGATAGCTGAAATCACACACAGAATGATAAGGAGAGGTTGTTTAGAGTTGCGTCAAAAACATTGGTTGGAATGACTGTCCCAATGATTATACTTCTAGGCTTGTCAGCACCATACCTGTGCAATTGGGTTTCATCAAAGTGGTAAACGTCTGAGACCTGCATCCCTTCAAGGCGTTCCTCTCACATTAACTGATACGCCGTGATATAACTGGAAAACTGTTAAAAAGCGTTAAGCACAACTCCCTCACTCATTCAGCAATAGCAATAGCAGAAGCAATAGGGAATCAAATCCAGATCTTTCCCGTAATGACAAGCACACTACCCGCAAGACTCCAAAATATAATTGCTGATTGTCATATTAATCCGCATATTTCATCAGAACATGAACAAATAAAAATTAATTTAAGAAATGAACTCGTGTCAAGAATCTCACAATCAATTTGAGTCTATTCATTGGAACTTTGAGAATCATTATTCAGTGTTCCCACTTCCCTGAAAAGATATTAAGGTTTATGGTACAACCAGTAATGGTTGCACCACATAACACAGAGAATCTGTCTGATTGGTTGTTTGTTGCCAATGACATTGTCCTGTTTTATTTGTGGATGTATGTGGCGTTGCATTCACAGTATACATTTAAGTTCAAGTTGACTAGAGGAGCAGATGTAAGGAGACTCAAATATGATGGGTGCATTGGTCTCATATGACAAAAGAAAACTGATAACAGCACTCGTTGAGGTCCATTTAACATATAGAAATTTATATAAAACGACGTTGAAGGAAACTAACCGATGTTGTGAGCTTGTCATGCTTTAATTATACGAGCTCTGACGTTGACCTTCCTAACTCTACAGTTGAAACTAACACTCTAACATAGTTACCGGCAGAATATTTGTCCTTGTCAAACGTTGCAATTTTTTAACAATTGTGTAATACAATTGTTGATTGTATGCCATTTGTTTGTTGTGTTCTGAGTTAACCTACTTTTTCAATTTGGGAATCGACACGAATCGATTGTTCAAAACTGGCACACATCATTGTCATTGACCAAGGCTCACTATGGCTTACATGGAAACGTAGATTTTCAAGTTTTACGTCATCAAATGCTTGTATGGTCACCATGAGGGTCAAACTGAATGATATCAACGTCCCGTGGAAGCAATCAGATCCCGAAATCACCCACTCTGTTCGCAGTGGTTGTGCCAACTGTCGAAGGTACTATGGTTTTATGCATCCCATTAATTTTCCGATTGGGTTTACATCTGGAGAACTGGAGGGCTATGGCAGGACCTGGATGTTGTGATTCCTGAAAAAAGGCTGTCTTCAGTCATGCCGTGTGAGGTCGGGCGTTGTCTTGTTGGAAAATGACTTTGGCTTGTTGCATTATGGAAAGAACGTGTGGCCGTGTAACGTTGTGTTGTTAAATTTCCCAGAAATTGCACCAGTCTCTTTACCAGTGTAGGAGATGGCTGCCCACATCATCACACTGCCACCACCTAATCTGTCCCTTTCCTGTATGCAGTTTCGTGCATAGCTTTCCCTGCGACGCCTGTACATGTGAACACGATGTCTACCATCCGCACGGCATAAAACGTGACTCGTCACAAAAACCAAACTTGTCTCCATCGCAGTTGTGGCCATGACGTCGCAGCGGAGAATGCAGGACCGCCAAAATGACACTTCGAACTGGTCGTTAGGCGCGAATACCTTCAGCGCGTAAACGGTTCGTCACTGTGTGATATCCCACGCAATCCTTGTATTGTCGTAGTTGTACAGGTAGCCATGACGTAGCCGTATGAATCTGTCCTGTGAGCTCTGGTAGTGATACGTGGTCGACCGGATCTAGGAAGGTCACGTGTTGTCCGGTTCCACAGTCGTGTAATGGTGCTTGGTGCTACGTGGAAAAACCAATCTACATCTAAAAATGATTTGGAAGTCGGCAACACTGTCAGATATTTACGATTTTACTACGTTTGCAGAGTGTTTTTTTTGCAGAGTATATGTTGAACTTGGAATCAATATAAAAAATTGTAGGCCTTATCAGATTTGGGAATATATTTATTAACCCAAGTGAGCCCCCTAAATTATCCCCTGACCAGAAATTATTGAGAATGAGAAAATTGAAAATTATAGATTTATTAAGTCATAGACCAAGAAATAAGTTTGTCCAACAACCACTGCTTACCTGAAGCTAAAAACAGCAAACCGTTCAATGTTTTGTCAGACCACCTCTTTTCTCGCCACATTTTCAATGTGGCGAAGTATTCTGCCTTCCAAGGAAGTTAGAAAATCATGAGTCATACTGTCCCAATATCTCACCACCCTTGCTTTCATATGACATATATCTTTTAGGTTTATTTTGTTGTTATTGTCCTTAATTAATCCCCAAATCTTTTCATTTTTCGGAATGTAGCTGGGCCATTCCAGGAGTGTAACATTTTGCTCTTTACACCCGAGAATGCTGCGCTCTATGTTTTAGTCTCTTGTCTTTGCTGGAATAACCTCCAGTCACCACACAATACTTGTGCTGTTGAAAGGAGATGTCCCTGTAGAATATCAGTTTACACCCACTTGTCATGTTACCTTCAAATATACATAATGGTGTGGCACCCACATTGTCCCAATTCTAATTTCTATGTTCCAAACAACAGTTCAAACGGCGTTCTTGCTGTTCCCCGTGATTTCTGCCAATCCATTGTGAGGTGAGGTGAAACTGGGTTTGAAGTCGCGTCCAAGATTATTGCACATATATAGCGACGTGCATGCACGTGTGTGCGTGGCTGATTGTACTAGTCCGGACTGATGCCGATTTATAGTGCTAGCACACTGAGATACCATGCCGCAGTTTAACATGAATACCCCACTCAAACACGGTATACTGACTCCGAGCCGACCAGTCTTTGTTTTAGTCCTTAATGCCGAGCGCAAGACAGGGTTACAACAAGTACCATCTTTGAACGTCTGTTGGTATGACGCGACCGGGGATCGAACCCCGGACCTTCCGCTCTCCGGGCGGACGCTCTACCACAAGACCACGTGGGCGGTCGCCGATCCATTGCATGCAAATGCGATCTTATTGTCTCTTTAGAAACTTGAACTCTTACTCTATTAATAAGTTTATGCCTAACATTTTCCATGCTCACGCGTCTGTTCTGAGACGCCAGTATACCAAGGCGCCGTCTGTTACCAACAGTCAATTTCTTTGGCCTACCTGTGCCCTTTTTATGCTTGTTATAGTTAGATATGGTTGTATCTTTAGCCATTACTATTCATATTCGTTACCAATGAATTTGTATATGGCATGCAGTCATTAGGTTTGGGGGGTATTTTTGTTCATGAAAATGTGGATGAAATTCTGCTTCTATTCTTTGCAGCTGATATTTCACGCAATGATAAGAGTTTTGTCTCCAGAGAAAGTAAGATGCCACAGAACTTTCCTGTAATAATTGGTAAATTGAATCTGAACAAATACCAAATCATCATGGTGTTCAGAATGGATGGAGGATATTTAAAACATTCTAGTAACTTGTTCTTTTAAGGTATTCCTGTAAATGTTGCATGTAATTGTGACAAACCTAGTTTGGACAAAGGCGGGTGCGTTCTGTATGCAAACAAGGAAGGCGTTTTCCAATGTCTCAATGGTATACGTCACAACACGGAGTAAAAAGACAACCTCAATATGGATTAAGAATAAGTTTATTAAATAAAGTTAAGAAATACACAAATAAAGGGCATAACAACTTACGTAACCACACCAACTTAGCTTGTTTCCAACTAACTGTCACTACTCTTCACTACTGAGTAATTCACAAATCCCATACTAACACTCTACCTACTAAATTCCTGCTAAAACACCAATGCATCAACATCGATACATCAAAACATTAATACATGAAATGCAAAGTGCAATGCATGGTATAAATATTTTAACAATCTGTTGTCGCAAATGTACACACTATTATGTACACGTTATATACAAAGTCATACCTTTCAATCATCACAGGACTGTACACTGTACATTGTTCATTATTCGCGAGCCTCACGCAGGTCTGATATCAAATCCAGATGTCATCATATCAAGCAATTGACCGTCTGTCCTCCTGGGCTCAGGCTTCACAACATCAATGCCATTGCCACCGACTCCATACAGGTGGCCCCTCTGAGTCCCCGGACACTACACGTATATAACGCACGTATATACGTCAGTCAACGTACCAATACCCATTCAACTTTCATCTAGCATTATATACTCAGAATGGAACAGTTATAGTTATTCGACATTCTGATGAGCATAGGGACATGTTCAGAATAACTACACACGGTTATTCTACATACATGTACATCAAGCATGTTCCAACTCAGAATAACTAAATAAACACGGTTATTCAAGATACTTTGGGTGAGGTGAATTGGGGTTTAACGTCGCGTCCAAGATTATTGCACTTATACACGTGTATGTGTGTGTGTGTGTGTGTGTGTGTGTGTGTGTGTGTGTGTGGCTGCTTGTACTAGTCCGGACTGATGCCGATTTATAGTGCTAGCACACTGAGATACCATGCCGTAGTTTAACATGAATACCCCTCTCAGACACAGTATACTGACTCCGAGCCGACCAGTCCTTGTTTTAGCCCCTCAAGCGCCAGACAGGGTAACAACAAGTACCATCTTTTAACGTCTTTTAGTATGACGCGGCTGGGGATCGAACCCCGTCAAGATACATTGAGCAAGTACTTCTCAGAATAACTTATATTTAATATCAAAAGTAAATGAACATATGATATGATAGTGGTTGTTTTAAATACAACGACTTTGTTATACCTATATATATATATCAAATAAGGAAATATGTATAATCCCTGTCAGGGAATAAATGTTATGTCTGATTCACGCTTGGTTCGAAAGATGACTTGCTTGGTTCGGAGGCTGATCCACTTGACTCATCAGTCGTTATATATCGGGCTAGCGCAACCAGAAGGGGGCAGATTTGATGATGTCAAACAAATTGTCCCGTCAGTTCCTAAAAGTGCAGCAACGGAACAAGTTGGACCGCTGTGATGACTACAAATTTGAGTCCAACAGTCCAGTCACTAGTTTTGTTATCCCCTAGCAGAGCCAATTGTACAAACTGAGTTTGTGGGACTGTAGCAACTAACATATCGGTTCTGATTAAACTCAACACACTAAGGTCAGACAAATACCGGTTCTCATAGGTAACTAATTGGTCAGTATTAAAAACATGTAGGGGCAGGAATAAACATCGATTTGTAACACTTCCATGTCTCTAGTTGGTTCCTTGTTTGATGAGGCGTTTACTTTCAGTGTCTGCAGTGATACCAGTAGCTCTTTTGGAATTCTCCATCTTGTCTAGTTGTTGGTAATCTTCTGATCCAAGAATACAACTGGGTTTATTTCTATGTAGGATGCAGAGATACACTGTGATTACAAGAAGCTGAAACAAAATGTCAGGGGACGATTTAATACATTTCATAGAGCGTGTGCATTTGTTTCATGGGAATTACAAAAGTTGAACAACACATACGCCCAGCTAAGCAAAATATATGAAAAGACTTTGCTAGTGTTGACCCAAGCAACACATGCTTAAGGGTAGTGTTATGCTTTCTGACCATGGAACTACTTTCACTTATCATGAATGCGCATGTGAAACGATCGAAAATTAACTTGTGTGTTAAATGCAATTTTTGTGTTTTTCTAAAACATTGTTCTTCAATAAATGATATGTATTACAAAGAATAATCAGCAATTCATCATTAAAATATATTGTATCTATCTGACATTGAATTGAATTGAATCCGGGATTTAAGAAAAAGCGAATTGCAAACACTCTTTGGTTATATCTGTAATACAAATGGAAATATAACCGTCACTGTGTCTTACTTATCTGACAAGTTAAAGACACCGTTATTTTGGGAATTAATTTAACATAAAAATATGCATATTGGAAATGTAATTAATGACTTATACGTGTAGCCAGCCAGTGGAATATTTCTGTCAAAATCACTAAACTTAATAACTTTAATATTGATTTGTTCATTCAAAAGTTGACAACGAACGTTAGAACATCCACTTCTTAATCTGAAGATAATATATTGTATTAAAACATGTACATTGCCCACACATATTTGTAAGGGGAGTGAATTACTAGGAAGAATTGTACTTAACATACTGTCATGAAACAGAAAAAAGAGCCTGATGTCGTTGCCCAAGCAAATCCAAAATAGTCTGTTAACACTCCTCCAATCACTGGGCCGATGAAATGTCTGAAATGTCAAAGACAACAGCATGGAAATAAAATGTGTGCACTTTTATGAAGATTAACACTTTGAAAAATGAAGAAATCGGACGTAAGGTTTCGAGGTTTGCTGGTGTGTTCACTTGTGTGAATGAATGTTTGTGTGTGAGTGAGTGTGTGAGCGAGCGGGATCAGTCATATCATGTATACAACAATGTGTTGAAATAGTGAAACTCAGACAAAAATACTCGTTTTTAGTTTGACTCCAATTTGCAATTATGATTATTTTGTTCAGAAGAATCACCTGGCTTGACTGGACTTACCCCAAGGACAATGCGGACATAATGAGCCCCGAAACGAGTCCCTGTGTTTGAGAGTCATCGTTCATTCCCATATCTCTGTAACAGAAAATGCACATCCACGTTACAATTACCCAATGTCTTTTCGCTTATTCCTTGTATAATTGTTACTTCAATATGTGACAACATATAACACACGTTACTTTACTTTAATGTCAAGTGCGTCAATGATGTACATACTCGGACTGATGGATATCTATGAGATCAACTCTACCTTATGCCGGTGAATATACACGATATTGCACCAATGTAAACAAAGAGGGTGAAAAATCCCATACAGACTGTTGAGAAAATCTGTAACCAGAGAGCTCTGAAACAGAAATGAGTCGTCCTGTTACATTTCAATTCATGTTTATTAGCGTCAGCTTTGGGCGCCTTTACCCCTGTCTCGTTATGATATGGTGGTGAAGGTTGAGTGACTGGGCAAATGTTGCATAATGCTGGTTATTAACTTCTGCGTTTATTTTCTGAGAACGTAAAACTGAATTTCAGTGATATCATATTTTTTTGAGTAAACGTTTGCGTTCGTCAATAGACATCAGGGGATATTTCTACCAAATGCACCTTTATACTTTGTTACATGCTGTTCATATATATCGAGCAGATTGTATACATGTGACAGATGATTGTTAGGCTATAGTGTTTAATATTTATCAACGCAACCACTACTCTGCATGCATTGCATATTAAAAATTCTTAGGGCTATTGCGAAATGTGACATTTGCAGTTGTTTAATTTGACCATCGTTTATATTATTAAAAATCTGTCACCATGGTGAAGGCACACATTATGCTGGCATTCTACACTGAATTTGGAAATTACTCGATTCTGATTGGTCAATCAGAGGCTAATAACTCACAATAAACTCCTCTGATTGAAACAGCTGGTTTGACGGCCGCATCACCGCGGAAGCAAATATTAATAGAAGGTACCTTTTTCAGTTTTGTCGGTAGGCATATTTAAATAATGATACAATAACAGGTTGCCAAAGTTGAGGTACTACAATAATCAAAGGATGTGTGGCAATACATTCGTACAGGAAACACAATAGAAATCGTTAAAGAGAATGTATTTGGGGACAAGAGAGAGCTTGGAATTTGGCACGTATACGTATATCTGTATACGACTGTGACGTCATATCAGTTGCGTCACAATGAGCGAAAGGACGTCATAATGGTGACGTGCGATGTAGAACGAAAGCTTGCAAAACTTAGTTTTCTTTAGGTGTGTCCACCTCATGTTAGCTGACCATATTTCCATGATTATACGCTTTCAATCCCTGTCATATGTTCGAGTGACGTATTACGGTGTAAACAAACTGCTTGAGTATATAGGCTGTTGTCGGTGATTCCGTAGTTCAGATCAACAACCCACTCAAAACACTGGAGTCTACCCATGCTGCTTCACTCAATATATTTGCTAACACCAAAGAGTGTGCGTTTTATTTAGTCATGGTAGAATTGAGATAAACAAACTGTGTTTTCAATGTAGAGTGTAGGTTACCTGATGATTTAACCGTGGTATTTTGAATTTCGAACGAAGGTTTCAAATGTTAAATTTAGTAAGTTTGTCTCAAAATGTTAAGTTTAGTATGTTTGTCTCAAAATGTTAAATTAAGTAAGTTTATCTCCTAATTAGCATCATTCGTTACCTCGGGAGGAATGTCAGGAAGGGTGCAGGGCCATAAAGAAGCATTGCAACACTCAGCGCCGATAGGCTTGTCAAGATGATCGGAATGTCAGGTATCTGCAAACAGAGCTCACGGTGGTCAAACACCCCAAATGTCGGATTACACACAGTGGATTTGCTCATGGGACCACAAAACAGTGTCAGAATAGACATGTCGGATTACACGGCGTTTAGCATGCTGGTAGGCTGTCGGATTAGACAGAGTGTCGGATTACACAAAGTCTACTGCAATACTACTACTACTACTACTACTACTACTACTACTACTACTACTACTGATAATTATAATTGATGATACTATTTCCATACAGAGTAAGTGATGGGGCTTTGAACCTATTTCTCTTTTCAACGGATCAATATATAAACCTTTACATTGAGTTATCCCTGTGCAGTATACAATCCCCGGTTCTCCAAAAACCGCACGTTATATGACGTGTATTCCAGTGTTAGCCATAAAGAGATCTAACTAACAACACATGCTGTACGTGCGACTCACCTTGGGTGGTATGAGGAAGCTAAAGATTAGAGATACGGTGATATATGTCAAAGGTAGTGTGAGAAACAGCAATCCGATGGTGCTTGTCTTCAAACCGAACTAGAATGAGAAAATACTAAATTGTCATCAATGAATTTATAGGATATGTGAATATGCTGATTCTTGTACCACGAGACAAGTCTCACCTCGTTTCAGTACCCGTCGCATTTGAACACTGTTACTGTTGCGATTCCCAAAATATGTCAACACAGAATTCTGTATGTAAAAGAATTTAGTGTGAAACCAACAAACAAGCAACAAATATATCTACACAGTGACAGACCAGTCCAGTATTAGTCGAACATGACAGAATATTCCACATGTTTCTGTAACGCCTGACATCCATCCATGCTATTACGTAAGTTTACAGATATTTTTAACATCTAAATACAATAACGTCCCCACCACTGCTTACATTAAGTAGTACTACATTTCTCGCAACTAATCATTGTCCAGATACAATGCAAAGAACTTCTACAGAATTTCAACAGAAACAATGTTATACAGTTACAATCTTTGTTAAACAATAAATTACACATAACACTCCACAAACCCCACCCCGAACCCAACCTTTCAGGGAAGGAAAGTTTGAAGATAGTGATAACTTTATATGCTGATAGAAAAATGCTAAGTTGTACATGTGCCTGTGCAAGTTCACTTTGTAATTTTACAGTCAACTTGGCTTCAGTGAGTTTCTCGGAGAAGGCACATATCCTCTTCAGGTGTTCGTCCCACTCCATGGAATGATTGATGACATCATCAACGTAGGCTTTGACACCCTCAAGAATAGCTGTAATGTCTGAGATTTACTGCTGTACTTAAGGAGACGCTGGAAGGTGGCTGGAGCGTTCTTGAGCCCAAATGGCATCACTTTGTATAAATCAAGTCCATTTGGAGTCAGTCAGTGGAATCTGCCCTTCAACATGTCAAACTTGCTGACGTACTTGGCTTGACCAATTCTGTCAATGCAGTCATCGATTCTTAGAATTGGGTAAGAGTCAGATTTAAAAACAGCGTTCACACGTCTCTTGTCTGTACAACATCTGTAACTACCCATCATGCTTCAGTACAAGAATGCAAGCAACCCATGCTTGCCGTAAAAGGCGTCTATGCTTGTCGTAAGAGGCGACTAACGGGATCGGGTGGTCAGGCTCGCTGACTTGGTTGAAACATGTCATCGATCCCAATTGCCTTGATCGATGCTATCAATTACTGGATTGCCTGGTCCAGACTCGATTAGTTACAGACTACCGACATATACCTGGAATATTGCTGAGTAAGGTGTAAAACAACAAACCAACCAACCAACCAACCAACAAGAATGCAAGGTGAACTCTAATCACTATGACTTGGTTTAATAATGTCATTGTCCAGCATGTATTGAATTTCCTTCTTCAGAGCTTCATGATCAAATTCACCCGGTAGGGATGTTGTTTCACAGGCACAGCATCACATAAATTTACAGCACGACATGCTAAATCTGTACGGCCAGGTATATCTGTACACAAGTGAAAAAACTCTTGAATTAACACTCTTAGCATTTACAGACCAGGGTACAACAACCACGGAAAGGTGAATCATTGGATCTAGTTTTCCATAAAACTGACTTCACACTACAGAGCAACGTCCTACTTGAGCGCTTTAATTATGAAAAATAATAAAATACAAAATGCCTCATCTTGCCACAAATGCATTTCACCCTACACTTGTATATATATCCACTCAATGACTATGATAAACAACCATGCTTAACATGCTTTACATCTGAAAATTCCACTTGACAAAGACGCATGAGATGAGACTTGGCAACTGCAAGTATCTGTGGCGTGTATGGTAAAAGGGAAGTAACTCGGTCTTCGCATGACAATAGATTCATCCAAGAGGTTCACACTTTTAGACGTGGTCTGATCATGTAGGATGGTATTTTGTGGTAAAAGAAGACACATCTTGTTAACATCCGTGGAGTTTTGATCACCCAACATTACATTGATGTCACTCTGCAGCCAGTTGTCAGCTGCAAGGAATGTCAGGCTCCACACTGCTCAAAGAGTCCAGGATTTTGTCAATATCAATAACGCACCCTTGCTGCACTGGCTGTTATTCTCACCAGACCAGATTCTCGATAGATAATTTCTGGGATCATAACACAACATCTAAACCTGTTGAAGCCATGTTCAGGAGTTGGAATGTATGTTTTGGGAGGATTGGGACCTGCAAACCCAATGACGTCATTAGTAGGTTTATGTCACCATGAAGCATAGGGTCTTTCTGGACACCGAGTGATGTCACACACGATATGGAGGTGTAATGGATGCATTCAAGAATGTGTTATCAGGCTTAAAGCATATGTTACTAAGCGGAAAGTAACAGTTAACATACCAGATGTGTTTCATCGTTTCTTGTTGATGCATCTCCACTGCCTCAAAGTTGTCTTTTGGCTTGTTGTACGATAAATGATTCAACTTAAAAATACATTTAAATGGAAATGTATCCATTTTCTCGATTTCTTTTTATGCTTCTGATGTATTCTTTTGTTTTGTCAACACTTTAGTTGGTCACATCTTCATAATTTACAAACATAACTAAAGAGGTAGTGATTGCGCCTCTTTACCTAAAGAACAGTATATCATTCAACTTACCTGCTGCAGGTGTTGTGCAAAGCCTGGGACCCACACAGTAAACACATAGCAGTTACAGGTTAAACATAGAACTCCAAGAGAAACCAGTGGGCTTCTCAATAACAAGAATGTTGACTGCGGACTGACTTGACTGTGCTCTGGAAAGGAAAAAGGAAAATAAAGACACATTTTTGCAAACACGTGAGCATCTGAATATTTACACTGTTTTCTGTTTGGCGAAAGACAAAGCAAATTTTACAAGATTTCCAAAATGAAACAAAGTTTAAACCAGAAATTGTTGCAATAGATGCGGTTTGCATCTTCCTGTTACAATACACCACTAGCACCTGTGCCACAGGTATCATTGGCCAGCTTAAGCGGTTTCTCAAAATCTGGTGCTTTCAAGATTATAGAATTAGTATGGTATTGACTCTTTCAAAAGCTGGTTCGAATTGTTTCTTTTTGGCCGACAACTTAGTTGGAGGTGTCACTACGTCAGACAAACTTTGACATTTTCTGTTATAAGAAGCCATACTTAGAAATCTAATACATTCTTTTCTGTTTGTCACAACTAGGACATTTGCAATAGCTTATTCTGTGGCTTTAATCGATTGTACCTTACATTGACTACATGACCTACGAACAAAACATATGCCTGACCAAGTTAATATTTGTCAAGAGCTACAGTCAATTGTGCCTGGGACAATCGATCAAAGCCTCTTCAAATGATCGCCCCCATCTCCATTACATGGGTGATACTGTTGTAGATGTAAGTATCTGATATAATAACCCTTCAAAACAGTCGAATTTACTGTCATACTTTGCTTGCCCAATTCTGAGAAACACATTCAGCAATTCTTGACATGGAGAACAATAGGTTTTAGACAATGGGTTCACAAGTCGTCAAATTGTCAAGTCGAGACAACATCAGTAGGTGTTTGGATATTGAGTATTGGATTTTATAGTAGAATGCACTTTGAAGTCGACTCACTGTCGCTTGGTGTGATGATGTCATTCTCCAGCATATATTTCACATCTTTCTGGTGATGCCCCACTTGAGTGGGCTTAGGTGATAGTGATTCTGTTTCACAGGAAATGCATCACCTACATCTATGTCGTGACTAAAAACTGAGTGTGTATCACCAAGTACATTCGGAACCAAATGGACAAATTCAAATGGATTATGTCGTGGCGCAGTCCGTCCGTCCGTCCGTCTGTCTGTCCCACAGAGGGTACTATGCTTGTGAAATCAACTCCTCCTAGTTTCCACAGAATATCCCTGACACTCTGCACACAAGATGTCGACATGTTGATGATACGCATATCGCAGTCCCGTTTCATTTCGACTAATTTTGACAGAGTTACTGCCCCTGTTTTACGGAGCTTCATTTGCCTAATTGTAAGAGAGGGTACTAAGCTTGTGAAATCAACTCCTCCTACAGTTTCCAGAGAATATCCCCGACACTCTACACACAAGATGTCGACATGTTGATAATATGCATATCGCAGTCCCGTTTCATTTCGACTAATTTTAACAGAGTAACTGCCCCTGTTTTACGGAGCTTCATTTGCCTAATTGTAAGAGAGGGTACTAAGCTTGTGAAATCAACTCCTCCTACAGTTTCCAGACAATATCTCTGACACTCTACACACAAGATGTCGACATGTTGATGATACGCATATCGCAGTCCCGTTTCATTTTGACAAATTTTGACAGAGTTACTGCCCCTGTTTTACGGAGGTTCATTTGCCTAATTGGGAGAGAGGGTACTAAGCTTGTGAAATCAACTGCTCCTACAGTTTCCACAGAATATCCCTGACACTCTTCACACAAGATGTCGACATGTTGATGATACGCATATCGCAGTCCCGTTTCATTTTGACAAATTTTGACAGAGTTACTGCCCCTGTTTTACGGAGGTTCATTTGCCTAATTGGGAGAGAGGGTACTAAGCTTGTGAAATCAACTGCTCCTACAGTTTCCACAGAATATCCCTGACACTCTACACACAAGATGTCGACATGTTGATGATACGCATATCGCAGTCCCGTTTCATTTCGACAAATTTTGACAGAGTCACTGCCCCTGTTTTACGGAGCTTCATTTGCCTTATTGAGAGAGAGGGTACTAAGCTTGTGAAATCAATTCCTCCTACAGTTTCTAGAGAATATCCCTGACACTCTACGCACAAGATATCAACATGTTAATGATATTCATATCGCAGTCCCTTTTCATTTCGACTAATTTTGGCAGAATTACTGCCCCTGTTTTACGGAGCTTCATTTGCCTTATTGTGAGAGAGGTACTAAGCTTGTGAAATCAACTCCTCCTCCAGCTTTTAGAGAATATCCCCGACACTCTACACACAAGATGTCGACATGTTGATGATACGCATATCGCAGTCCCGTTTCATTTCGACAAATTTTGACAGAGTCACTGCCCCTGTTTTACGGAGCTTCATTTGCCTTATTGAGAGAGAGGGTACTAAGCTTGTGAAATCAATTCCTCCTACAGTTTCTAGAGAATATCCCTGACGCTCTACACACAAGATGTCGACATGTTGATGATACGCATATCGCAGTCCCGTTTCATTTCGACTAATTTTGACAGAGTTACTGCCCCTGTTTTACGGAGCTTCATTTGCCTTATTGTGAGAGAGGTACTAAGCTTGTAAAATCAACTCCTCCTACAGTTTCCACAGAATATCCCTGACACTCTACACACAAGATATCAAGATGTTGATGATATTCATATCGCAGTCACGTTTCATTTCGACTAATTCTGACAGAGTAACTGCCCCTGTTTTACGGAGCTTCATTTGCCTAATTGTGAGAGAGGGTACTAAGCTTGTGAAATCAACTCCTCCTACAGTTTCTAGAGAATATCCCTGACACTCTACACACAAGATGTCGACATATTGATGATACGCATATCGCAGTCCCGTTTCATTTCGACTAATTTCGCCAGAGTTACTGCCCCTGTTTTACGGAGCTTCATTTGCCTAATTGTTAGAGAGGGTACTAAGCTTGTGAAATCAACTCCTCCTACAGTTTCCAGAGAATATCCCTGACGCTCTACACACAAGATGTCGACATGTTGATGATACGCATATCGCAGTCCCGTTTCATTTTGACAAATTTTGACAGAGTAACTGCCCCTGTTTTACGGAGCTTCATGAAAAATACAAAGAAAATATAAACTCGTTAAAAAAATTCATGCGCGGGATGTTGTGCTCTCAAGGCACTCTTGTAACCCTTGATCATGGCTGAAATACTTTCCTTAAGCCAACCATGGTAAAAACCTTTTCAAGCCTTAACAATAAAAGTTTTCTCAATTGATTGACTTCTGTAAATATGAATAAAGAGCCCATGTTTGTCAACATATACTCATACCCTGACCAGTTTCAGGCTGGGACCAACACGATGGACAAGATTTTTAATGAGATGTTCCGAGAGGGCAGATATCTTGTCAGATTTGTCTTGTGTTCTTTTATGCTGGTGGCTATGGGTCGTAAAATCTCAACAGTATCTTTGTCTACACTATATATGTGTGACCACTATATTTTCTGGCAACAAAACAAGTTTCTCCACAGCAACATCAGTCACTGGAAAAAGAGGAAACTTAATAAAATCCAAAGACAGAAGACTGCAATAAACAGAGATGAACTTAGTAATGAGACTACCCAATGCTCTTTTGGCCATTTCAAATTCGTTTTCAACATAAGACAAAAAATTGTAAACGTCGTTTTCCTAAAAACGATTGATTAATCGGTTTAAAGTTTAGAGTGACATTGAAAGTATTTTGATCATTTTGAGATTGTTTTCCAATTCACTCAATCTAAATTATCTCTACCTCCTCTCTTTCTCTTTGGAATTCTATCGCATGTCTTTCCTTTTCATTTTGAATTTCCAATTCTGCCTCTTGTAGCTTAGTAAGGATTTGTGATGAACAATAAAACCTACCGTGGTGTTCGTTTTGTTGTAGGAAAATGAGAGTAGCGACACCAACGATGAACAAACATCCTCCCAGGGTCCAGAACGGCATAGCGTACCCTCCACACTGCAAGTATCATCACGTTATGGTCCAGGCAAATTGTTGATATATATCATCTACGAATAATATATTACAATACAATATAACACAATACAATACAGCTTATGTTGTTACTGTGTCCTGAAATGAGTCAAATGTCCTCAGTCTTGGAAATGGCATCCGTCAACATAGCAAACCCAGTAATCGGATGGTTTCAAAGGTCATGGCTGGGTAATGTCTTCACAAGAATTGTATTGCTGTTGTACTGTCAAATTGTGGTATTATTTCTTTATAGGTAAGCATTTCAGCTGGGTATTTTAGTGTTTACGTTTTAGCGGTCACACAAATGGTATGTTAACATGGTTGTTGAAATTCTCTAAATTATTGAACTGGAATGTAAGACTGCTTGTAAAGATAATCCTAAACAGAAGCACAATTAATTGAACATATAAAACAAACACTTTTAATGTGGTAACACACTCGCTTGGTTAAGAATCGTCTTTGCATATACGCTAATCATATCACACACACATTTCAAGATTTTCAATGGCCGATGACCACAATGAAGTACACAGTCACAGGCAAGGTGTACATTGTGAGTATATATACAGTGTGGCACGTTATATTATCGCGGATGTTCATTTATGATGGATCGTAATGGCGTATGCTTACTGACCTATTAAATACGAGATACGAAAAATATTTTTTTGTTATTTGTTTAACTATTATGAGACATCAATTAGTATTGTTCGATGCTGATTGTCTTCAGCGAGTCAGTTGCAAGGGGGTCAGCTCCATATTTATAGCGGTATCACTTTTTCGTGGAATCAAATGTGTGGAATGTGTGACCAAGGTGGGGTCCTCGAAACAAACAGATTCTGTTCAATTTCGAATTGAGATCCGGGTAAAGCCACTTCAAAACATTCCAGAAACTACTATAAAAGAGTTTATAGGTTTACATACGAGTAGACGCAACATTCGGCAACGAGTACTGGATTCGATCAAGCCATGAAATGGTGTGCTTAGATTTGCATAAGTAAACAGTCGACAGGGGGTATGGATGACGATATTTTTCCGATACTGCGATATTATAGAGTCAGACTATATATACCAAATTATTATTAAAGGTGAATTTACTTGGATCCGATAACCAGAGAACGCATTTATTTATTTAATAGCACAAACTTCCTGAAATATGAGATTACTTAAACAGGTTCACAACCATCGTCTGTTTAACAAGATAGATAAATCTCTTGTGTTCTCTTCTTTGAATTTTTAAAATATGTTTTCTCTAGCAGTCATTTTGTCCATGTTTTCAGTCCATGACAAGTGACATTTGGAATGAGGCAGTTCTTGATCTTCTAAGACAAAACACATGCCAAGAAAACACTTTGGAGAACATGTATAATATGCCATACAGAAAGCAAAGACAAAGCAAAGCAGAGCAAGGCTACAGGTATTGTTTATGGAACATTTTATGGGACTTTCACAGACAGAAAGGATTAAGTTCATGGGCGACTTTGGCCTGTGCTGGCTTAAACAGATTTGCTAATGATTTCTGTTCTTCACATCCGAACTGTTATCGTACGTGTACCAGCGCACACAATGTTGCATTTGCAAAGAAAAATTGTATTTATCATTCACATTCTTGTAGCGATGAAACGTTTACAAAGGAGCCACTGCTTCTAACTTGGTCTGAACAAAGTTGATTGGACTTGTAAATGCATGTATAACGATATATTATCAGTTATGGCAATGAGACATAGCACAGGTTCCAAACAGGTAGCAACTATCCTAGAAATCATGGGCCATAGTGCCAGGTACAGGTATGATGCTTGATAAAAGTCTGACACTGAATTGTAAAACCAGGCAGAAGACAATGGTGTTGCTATCCCAGACATATTGTACCGAAGGCATTTGTTCAAAAGGCAGTAGACGGTAATGAAGAAGCAAACCATTGAAGAAACAAAAAAAGGCACACACAGTCAACCTAACATGATTATGTAAAGGAGGAACCCGTGAAGATCTGGGTTAGAGTGAGTGAGTGAGTGACTTTGGTTTTACGCCGCTTTTAGCAATATTCCAGCAATATCACGGCGGGGGACACCAGAAATGGGCTTCACACATTGTACCCATGTCGGGAATCGAACCCGGGTCTTCGGCGTGACAAGCAAACGCTTTAACCAGTAGGCTAACCGACCGCCCCGATCTGGGTTAGAACTGGTCTTAATCATAAGAGGCGACAAACGAGATTGGCTGGTCAGGCTCGCTGACTTGGTTGGTGCATGTCAGTGTATCTCAGTTTCGCAGATCGATGCTCACAATGTCAGTTACTGGATTGTCTGGTTCATATAGTACATAAAAAGGCAATAACTCAGTGAGTCGTTCAGGTAAACCATTTTGTCAAGTGTGGACAGATTGTCATGGAACAGGTTGTTATCCTTGTTTCAAAGAAAGGAGAGGGCATTATTTCTTGTGCAAACGACAAGCTATGCCATTAACCATTATTTCAAGTTGCAGACCAACAAGGTCCCACACTGTTCTCTGCCCTTATAGGATTCCATGCACTTACAGGGTGAGATAGCTGAAGTTTTCCCAAAGTTACCAACTCAGTATGGCCCAACTCGGGGAATATGAGGAACTCTCAGGTCTTGTGGAGTCAAGTCTTTGGAATACTGAGTGTGCTACGTTACTAAACATCTAGGTTCCTTTTGAATATTTGCTCTTTGACTACATCGCTGGATTGACATTTAGCCTACATATACCTCGAAAAGAAAGCCCCCAATGGCTGGTCCAACAGCGAAACCAACGGTAACCCCGATCTCTAGAAGACTCTGGAAACGAAATAAACATAGTATTACATTCCCAGCAAATAAAACACTTTTACCGTATCCTCCGTTGTCCTACTACAGCAGACATAATGTAACTGTTCATATTGTTGTGCAGACCTACGCTCTTGTGAAAAGGCACACAGAGAATCTTCCCTTATTAAGGTGTCTCCTGTTTTGAGGTTAAAGTGTCGCCATCAGCTGTGCAGATTTGGGTTGTTTTACCGTGGCAGGATGCATAGTAGAATTTCAGACTATGGTCATTTATTCCGATCACAATACATATGAAAATATGCTCGTATTAGTATGGTAAACCTCAATGGCCTGTCGCACTTAGCCCCGACACCATACTGACTTGTCGTGATATATCGAGGATAAAGCGACTCTGCTCTATTGTTTAAACACGTCTCTTTGTAAACACCACATCCATGGCAACAGATGGTCAAGGCTGGCTTATTAATTTCAACTTTACTTCTTGCTATGTGACGCTTGGGTACAGATGTTAATAGCTTTATAAAGCAAACATTTGATTAATAAAAGCGCTGTGCCAAAAACGTCGCATTGAAAGAACAAGCATGAAATACTCATATCCCCCGCCATAACATGTCCGGTTGTGTGCAATGCATTAGCTCTTGTGAACTATGTTCACTGAACCTTTTTGTAAATGGCGTAATTGTAGCACTATAAACTGGTGTTGTTTTGCCATCTGCAGTATTTATGATAGAATGTGTAACTGTATTAGTAATGAGTTGTGTTATTACTGAAACAATAATCAGAGAAGTAAGGGAGTTCTTACTTAGATCAATGAGAGCAGGGGTCATCACGAGGTGTACTGAGAAGTACAGCACCAATCATCTGATGATCTGAGTTGTAGACTGGAGTCTGGAATGCTACAGCACTGGCATGATCAGTAAACAACAGGTCCAGTGTAGGTCCAAGACAGTGAGTTGGAGAGTGAATGAGTTGAGTCATTTTCCGCACATTAAAGAAATCTTCAAGTTTTAGATTTTTACTCAGATCACAGTTGAAATCCCAGGTAACTAGGACATGTTCACATTCATGCTGCTTGGAGAGATCCTGAAGTTTCTGCATGAAATGAGTAAGTGAATGTGACAACCATGTCCATGACACTTTTGGAGGAACATGCACACAAGCAATGCAGAACTTGCCAACAAGAAAGGCAATGTTTTCAATACTGCGAGATGACATTACATCACATAGCTGGACACTGTTCTTGAAACTTGTTGAAACATACACAGCAATACCATGTGTAGTGTCTCCTGGATAGACCTGATATCCTGTCTCTTTCACTGTTATCATTGATGTGTTTTTCTGTGAAACACAAAACATCAAGCACACCAACGTAACAAACTTACACTGCGAGGAAGTAGGCTGGTTCAGGTGCTCCTGTTCATGTTACTGGTACCCACTGTGAGGAAGTAGGCTGGTTCAGGTGCCACTGTTCATGTTACTGGTACCCACTGTGAGGAAGTAGGCTGGTTCAGGTGCCACTGTTCTTGTTACCACCATGCACTGTGAGGAAATAGGCTGGTTCGGGTGCCCCTGTTCATGTTACTGGTACCCACTGTGAGGAAGTAGGCTGGTTCAGGTGCCACTGTTCTTGTTACCACCATGCACTGCGATGACGTAGGCTGGTTCGGGTGCCACTTGTAAATTGTGTTTTCACGATAATTCACCATATACCTTGACCAAGTTCCTTTGTCAAGTGTTGTACATCTTAATTAGGTAATTATGGCAACGGTCTTAGACAACCCTGCGTATATGTTTTTGTAGATTATGTAAACGGTTTCCGAGTTATGCTCTTGCTAAGGAAACATTTGTAAAAACTCCCAAACTATCAAAAGGCACCAGTTTACCACTAGACCTATGTATATGCCAAGTTTGGAAGAAATAGTGTATGGTTTTCAAGATCTGTGCCAAGTTTGGTGATTTTCAGTGTAAGTCAAAGTCTTTGCCATTGAAACTCGAAAAATATTTTTTTTGTAAAAATCCCAAACTATCAAAAGGCACCAGTTCACCGCTAGACCTATCTACGTGTCAAGTTTGGTTAAAATAGCTCTCAGGGTTTTTGTGTTCTTCTCCGGAAACGAAATGTGACGGACGGAAGGACGGAAAGATGGACGGACGGACGGCACCCCTCCTAAATCCCCCTTCCACTTCGTTTCGAAAGAATAATCGCAAAGAAGCATTCACAAACTTACATATATCGTAGGTTTCCTGTCTGGGAAAAGTCCCGCTGCAATTGTCAAACATGACGTCATGTAGCTGGCGGTTCCTAGAGCCTCCACCACTCTAGTAGCAAAACACAGGCCAATGAAGATCCATCCTGGTGGCGATTTGGACAACCATCTTCAATAGCAATGTATGTAGTATGTATCAGCATCATCTACAGTATCGTACCATCTACAATACGTAGCAGCCACAGGCTGGTTTGTTGGTTGGTTGGTTTGTTGTTTAACACCGCACTCAGCAATAATCCAGCTATATGACGGCGGTCTGTAAATAATCGAGTCTGGACCAGACAATCCAGTGATTAATATCATGAGAATCGATCCTCGCAATTGATCGATGACATGTAGCAGCCACAGGAATAAGTAAGCATTTAGTATCATTTTCAAAACACCGCAGGTACTTGTACGTTTGTATCATCTACAATACAGGTTGATCGATGGCATCAATGCACTTTGTAACTACAGTGAACAATATTAGTGAAAAATACATAGCTGGTAAAGAGATAACATGTACTGATACACAATCTACAAAAAACTGTAGGTATTTTTATAATGTGCTGATGTACTATGTACAATGCAAGGATGTACACATATAGATGTACAATCCATAGTAAATGCAGGTTTTAGATGACGTACTCATGTGCAATTTTCAAATCATGGCAGGTTTATTGTGCCCATATATCCGGAATAATTATTATAAACGAAAGACGCAGTTTTCATCCATGAGAATTTTGTTTTGTTTGTTTGTTGTTTAACGGAGCACTCAGCAATATTTCAGCTATATGACGGCGGTCTGTAAGTAATTGAGTCTGGACCAGATAATCCAGTGATTGACATCATGAGCATTGATCCAGGCAATTTGGATACAAGCATCAACCAAGTCAGTGAGCCTGACCATGCCTCTTACGACAAGCATAGTCGCCTTTTACGGCTAGCATTTGTTGATGAAGACCTATTATACCCCGGACCTTCACGGGTCGACAATTTGGTCATCTGTCGAGTCATATCCCTTGTTGTTACAGTTAGTCAAGCGCGTCAACAGACGACAGCTTGTCAGGTCGTGAACATATCAGAATTTGACAAAATAAACCGGTTATAAATGGTTATAAAACTACATGTGAGTTTCATAGACCTATTTCAACTCGAAATCCCAATGGGGCGACCCACATATGGAGAAAAGCATGGTGTACTGGTCAAGTCACTGAATATTGTGATGTTTGTAGATGACCCCGTGTTTCAGTTCTACAGGACATCTGTGAAAATGATCCGTGTAAATGCTTCTGAAGTTTTACCCACCACTAACAGTGCGTGGTGGTATCTCAATGATTGGACGTCCTCCCCTTGTCTTCGTAGGTGCAGTCAGCGAGACATGGTAGAAACTGCCCATATCTACCTCAGACCGTTAAGCTGACAGTATGGCAGAGAACCAGTGAATGGACAGACAGCTCTCGCACTGACTATCAATAATGTGAAATTGGAGAAATGGCACAGGGTAGAATAGGTCTTCAGCAAACCATGTGTGCCGTAGAAAGCGACTATGCTTGTTGTAAGAGGCGACTAACGGGAGGCAAGCATAGTCGCCTTTTACGGCAAGCAATCTTCAAGGGTCGCGAACACTTAGTTACATCACTATTTGATAGTGATTCATAAACACATGCAAATGATATATAATCGGAATCATTCAATCGACTGTGTATTTGAAAAAATATATCTGAAAGTTTCCTGATGCCTTACTGACGATACACAATGAAACATGATCATATTTCTTGTTTGTATCAAACGATTGCAATTCAGATCTGGTGTTTATCCACGTCTTGAACTACTATCTTAGCAACACCAATAACATGGAGCAACACCTAATATAGTAGTACATGCGAACGGAGGGTCAAAGCTGTAGATCAGTTTTGAATTTTTGAAGATCAATGTCAATAGTTTTACTAAAAACCTTTTTAAATCTTTTCTTTTGGCGGATCATTTATTACAACAACATTTCCAGTGTAATTCATAGTCTTTATCATTTTCTATATTTGGAGGTCAATAAATCAGATCATTTCGATGTTGAACATGCACAACAGAAGTTACGTTTTGACGATTATGATAAGTATTCTAGGCAATATATGTTGCTCTACTTAGATGGAGACGAAATATACATACGTACATTGTCTGTGTGTCAAATGAATATATTTCAATAATATTTTCAACTTCAAACTTTTTCAATACTGTGGTTTATCGCAAATTTATGAATTACAAACCATTTTGGACAAATTCGTGTTGTGATCTACAGTGGAATATTTGTAAAAGTGACTGTTTATATTTGCTTACATGGCAGACACTCCAAGATAACTCACCCGAATAATATCACGCAGCTACTAAACACCCATAATCCGCTGACGCACATGAAACGGGGGCTGATCTCGGACAGCTGAAATCGACACGGAATAATGAGAAGTTTGGGTCTCATTCAACCATGTGCTTCACAAACTCGACACAAGTAGTATGTCTCACAGAAAGGTAATAAATTAAAGGCGGCTATTGACATGACCCCTCCCCCCTCTTTCTCTATTAAAGTTAACATCTTAGTGCCTGTTGGTTGTTGTTTACGCTAGAACTATTCCAGCTGTACACGGAGCATGTAGGTAATACAGTCATGAGGACAAACCTATCATGTACATTAAAAGAATCGTCGACGCGCAAACAACATAGTCAGCAGTATTATATGTCGGTTGCAGCTGTGCATACAAAATGCACTGTTGTAGTAAACATGCATAAATAATTAAGCGTAGGTTATTGAGGACTTATTCCAAACCATAAAGCGTACGGGATCCAAATGCAACATGACAAGACTTTTTGTAAAAAAAGACACCATTTGAATATTTACATCTACGAACAAGTGGATTAAGAGGACATGTCGAGATCTGTAAGTTCAGGGTAAAGAAAGTCTTTTACCAGGGCTCCAAAAAGCGGTGATGTGAGAAACACGACCAACTCCGGACAACTGAATATGAAACCTACAACTGTCTTAGATGCACCTTTCTTCGCTGCCTGAAACATTCACATAAGCTTCCAGATATTGGTGACTGGTTTTGATGACATAAATGACAAGAGTACTTAAAATGGTATTTATTTCGTATCTTGTTCGCAATACAAATCATATGTATCCGTGTCAAATAGTCCTCATTATGTACAAGGACCGAACACTTTCAGTCATGATCACAAGAAATACAAAAAGGACTAGAATAATTGCATACACGTGGATTGTATATGGTTCAATACTTATCACAATACAAGCGATACCAATGAAGGTCGCTTACTGTGACAGTGGTAATCAAGGCAATGAATATGCATTTCATTGGAAAGGCAATCTTACCTCAACGGGGAAGAAAGGTCCCAAAAGCGATATGCAGCAAGAGGCAAAAGTGTTTCCAATAAACAGCACAGCAAAACACAGAAGACGCCTTGCTCTGCTGGTTCCAACGTCCGCGTGACTTGAATTGTCCATTCTCAGGTTTGCTGTCATAGATTATAATTGTCTGTTGTTGAAAATTTTGAATGGTTAATCAATCAAATATGAAACGTAAATGCAAGAGAATAATAAGTCAATTACAAACGCAATATCGCGGAAAAAAAATATACGTATGATAGTTGAACATGATTCCGGCAGATGTTGTCCTCTGAATGTGCACATATTCAATGCATGATCAGTTGGGTTTTCTGTTGTTTGCAGCTTTGAGTATGACAGTTTCGCGTGGTACAATAAGCAAAGGTATTTTGGGACTTATTCTAGCTCTGAATGCCCACGGGGTCGGAATCCAACACACCAGGACTTTAATACAACAGACCCGTTTGAATAGTTACATCTGTGATATAGAATGATGTAAAGGGTAGACAAGAGGGTTAAGACGACATGTAGAGATCTCTAACTTCATGATTTAGAAAGTGTTTGACCACATCCCGAGGTGATAGAGATATTTCATTCTAAAATTCGTACTTAGTTCAGATTTGTACTCAAGCATCTCTTATAAAACATCTTGAGTCCGTACTGAGCTGAGCACAACTCACACTCGGCTTGAGCATGCTCTGAGGACTCCTTGTTTATGACACAAGGTAAAAACACAACCCGGATGTTGTCTGCTTATTTAGAATGGTAACGGAGGGCGTGACCGAGTCGAGAAGGCGATTGGATGGTCAGAGGCGGAGGGGTGAGTGAGTGAGATAAAATTTAACGTCACATCGGCATTAATATCGTTACGAGACTATATAAAATCGAAACTGCGATCCTCTAGTTCTTATACTGTCCATGGCTGACAGGTTTTTCTTCCTATATATTATACAATATAAAAATGGGCTACAGATCACCAGCAACCAAAGTTAGGCCACCTTACTAGAGACTGGGGATTTACAATACTTCTGCTACATGCACGGTTCCCCAGCAGGATTTGCATCATCCCTTCAGCTGCTGGTGATGTTACGCATTTAAGCCATCAGTTAAAATAAACAAATATACTACGTTTAAAACTGAGGTGTGAATAAATGTTTAAATGAATGATGTGGTCTTACACATCCTCTCAGGGGGACAATAATTTTACGCTACTTCAACCCCCTTTTAGGATACAGTCACTTACCATCTAAGTTACAAATTATACATAACTAATATAAAATATAGTTATCTACACAATCCAAAATTTATCAAAAGGTTCAATTTCTTGTAAAAACCCTCTAATTAAATGAGATTTGATACTATTGAAAAGATCCTTAATTGAAGATTATATGAAATATTTATCCCTTGTGATGGTTAAATCATGCTTGACCGTGATTCTCTCATCACAAGGTATACTAATGGAGGATCCTCACTTTTCAATAAATATTCATATGTATACCTGCTATGGCCAATACGACATCGTCGTATTATGACCTCTTCAAATCTGAACTGACAACCCAAGTACATGTAGGTGTAACACTAGCTGGTTTTGTTTCATGTAATATATTTATACCTACTTGGGGGTCCCACTTCTTTTGCATCAGATCTCGGATACAGGATCTAATCACTGGCTTTTAATCAGTGAATGGGAGCAAAAGTGGTGTCACAGATTTGTTTATTGCTGCTTTAGCAGCATCAGCCATTATGTTTCCAATGATTACAACATGGCTGGGTAACCAACAAAAGACGATGTCGTAATGGCCAGTTGCAAGTTCATTAAATAATTTCGATTAAAAATGTTGACATGACATGTAATAATCGAGTCTGGACCAGACAATCCAGTGATTGACACCATGAGCATCGATCCAAGCAATGGGGATCGCTGCCAATCATCTGTACTGCCAGACTATACGAAATAAATTCTGTATTATTTGTAAATAAATGAATCATATGACAGATAGATTCATGGAGCTACATACTATTTTGACGTGGCAACGGAGTTGAAAGAGTTAAGAGCGGGGGATTGTGAAGCTGGGCCCTGTTTCACCGAACAATCTTAGTATTATGATTCATTTAGTATGTTTTCAGTTTAAAATAAACCGGAGGCCGTAAGGCCCTGCTGACATTTAGAACTATCAGCCCGAGAACAAATCTGTCGTCCTGGGGCCTACACTGTACGTTTATTTCGAACACTCCGTATATATATTAATACTAATGGTGACAGTTATAATAAAGACAATGAATATACGTTTAATTGGAAAGGCAATCTCACCTCAACGGGGGTTGAAAGGTCCCAAGAGCGATATGCAGAAAAAGGCAAAAGTGTTTCCAATAAACAGAACAGCAACACACAGAAAACGCCTTGCTCTGCTGGTTCAAACATCCGTCTTGAATTGTCCATTCTCCGGTTTGCTGTAATAAAATATAATTGTCTGTTGTTGAAAAATTCAAATACATAATCATTTGAACGGAAACATCATTTATGCATAATTATTGAACCGTAATATTAGCAGATCTTCTGAATATATGCATATTTAATGCATGATGATTCCTGATTATGTAGAGCTAATTCATTTTGAGTGTGTGAGTGGTTTTACGACTACCTGATCCCGTTCGTTGCCTCTTACGACAAGCATAGTCGCCTTTTACAGCAGGTATGGGTTGCTGAAGATAGATTCTAACCCGGATCTTCACGGGTCGAGTATAGTTTTACAACGCTTTCAGCTATATGCCAGCTATATTACGGTGGGGGACGACAGAAATGTAATTCATATTAAAACATCTGTGGTTGTTGTATAACACCACAACTATTCCAGCTTTACATGCAGTATGTGTGTAATAGAGTAATGGCTAGGAGGACAAACCAATAATGTATATTTAAAGCAACTTCCACGCAGTCGGGAGACGATGACACCCAATCAATAGTTGTGAAGAAACACTCATTCCATCTAGTCGTCGGAACGGAGAGCTGTTTTCATCCCGGCCTTAGCTACCTATCAGTAGTCTGTGGTCGTTTGCAGCAGTGCATACAAAATGCATTATAGTTTGGCTTCGTACGATAAGCAAAGGTTATTTGGACTTATTCTAAACCGTAACTAGTCAAATATGCAAGTGCTTTCCTTAAGAAAAGACAACACTTGAAGACTTACTTCTGTGATATAGAAATATGTACTGGGTGGACTAGAGGGTTAAGACGGCATGTCAAAATCTCCGATTTCGGGATAAAGAAAGTTATTTACATGTGAGAAACACGACCAACTCTGGACAACTGAAATCTTCCCGAGGCAATTGAGTAAGCTGGCTATGGAACTCTAGTTTCCACCCTTGCCGCACTAACGTGTCTATGCATCGTCCAATCAAAATCGCCTGACAAAATCGACATCCGGTTCATTAACTGCCGTGCAGATTTCGACCAATTGCAGGATTTACAAAGCATGTGTACCGCAAACTCGGCGTGAGCAGATATTTCCAAGTCGTTTCATGTTTTTAATCAAGGTTCTAAGAGGATTTGATGCACTATGCGAAGTAAGACCCGTTTAATCACAATATAGATTTTGATCATCGATCAGATCGTCTTGACTGAACGCCACCATTTTGTTTGAAGCAAATGCAAGTAATATGAGAGGTGGAATATGACTGGTCAATAGGAGGTACATAGAAGGGACATAACTCGCAAAAGCCACCGGTTACGCTACTGTCGCGCCCAGAAATTCTAGCGTAGTTCGGCAATGGTTTAAACTGGACTTTTACTGTCAAATGACTCCCTTGCCTCGCTGAGACGGACAACTGAAACCTACAACAGTCAGATGCACCTTCTTCGCTAGTTAAATATTTTCACACAAGCTTCCGGATTTTGGTGACTGGTTTTGATGACATAGAATGCCAAGGTTCCTTTAATTGGTTTTGATTTCGTATCTCGTTAACTATAAAAATTATCCGTGTCTAGTACTAATTATGTACAAGGATCAACCACTTTCAGTCATGATCACAAGGAATACAAATACGACCAGAATAATATCGTACACGTCTATTGTATGTGTTTTAATGCTTATCATATTAAATACGAAACCATATCAAGGTTGCTTACTGTAATGCTGACAGTGATAATATAGGCAATAAATATAAAATAATTAGAGAGGCCATCTTTCCTCAATGGGGAAGAAAGGTCAAAACAGTTATGTGCAGCAAAAGTTTTTCCAACAAACAGAACAGAAACACACAGAACACGCCTGGCTCTGCTGCTTCTCGCATCCTTGTGTGCTGATTTGTCCATTCTCAGGTATACTGTCATACAATTTTGTCTTCTTTTGGAAAATGTCAAGCGCATAATTATTTATAAATTTGAAATATCGCGGAATTATCATAGGTATAATTCTAGAGCAATAATACCGGCAGATGTTGTCTTCTGATTGTGTGCACATGTTGATTCCTGATAATGTGTGGCTAATCCATTTACGTGTATGATTTTGCTTGTTGTTCAAGGACACTCAGCAATACTCCAGCTATATGAAGGCGTTTTTTTAATAATCGAGGCTGGACCAGACTATCAACCATGATGTGGTTGACATCATGAGCATGGATCTACGCAATTGGGAACGATGACATTCATCAACCAAGTCAGCGAGCTTGACCACATGAAACCATTTGTCGCCTTTTACAAGCATAGTCACCCATGGAACATATTTGACATTGCTGTCATTTTTTTGTTCACTGAACTGCTATGTTTAGCTAAATGAGAAGCAGTTATTATATGGCACTGCAAGTAATAGTTAAACAATGATTGTAACTGTATTACATTGTTTCTGTTGACATCCAATAGAAGTTCATTGCATTTGGACAATAAGTTTTCAGGAATGTAGTTTTATATGATGTCAGCAGTGTTGAGGAAGATATTATTGAATCACCCCATGCAAAGTAACCTGCCTTGTCAAAGTTGACAAGGCAAGAGAAATAAAAAAGGCATATGTTGGGTTCTCGATCACAGGTGTAGCAGGACTTGTGGGCTGCCCTAAGCTATTATTAGAATGACTTATATTTGGCAACTTGAGTTACCACCAAGCAGTAGCAGTAGCAGCAGCAACAATGGGCAACTATGTTGCCAGCAGCAAAATACTAAGTTTCTGCTGAAAAGCAGACATGAATTAAGTTAAGCCAAAGGGTTCCCATCCGCTTAGAAGCAGAGGGACTGAACAGATTCCTGCTCAAGAGCAGGGACCTGATAATTTTGAAGATTACTTGGTGATTAAGTAAGTATTTACATTGGTAGCCCATAAGAACCACGCCAATAGCACGCATGTGCTAAGCCCACACCGAAAACCATGAGGTACCCCCTAACTAGCCACAGACGAAAGAATAGGTGTTACATACTTGTTTATCTACTACTTACATTGGCATCAGGGATTTGCGGATTGAGATAGTGAAAATGTGCAGTCCTTTGACTGATAGGTGCACTCCGTCCCAGACACAGAGGGAACTGTCCCCAGCACAAATCTTTGGATGCTGAATGTGCACCCCCAAGCTCCCTAACATGGTTGCCCAACCGTCTGTTGACCTTCTTCCTGTCCATTTCAACCGCATCGTAGCAATTGGCTCCATGCCAGTGCCACCTTGGCAGCATGTCTGACCAAAGGATGGTGGTCTGAGGATTAGCAAGTGAACCGCAACATGGCAAAATGGATGGTACAGCTGGCTGGCCTTCCTCTTGCAGATGTCGTTGGAGCCCAGATGTATAAGTACGCTCTGTCGCTCCACCAGGGTCATGAGTTCGTGCCACATGTACAGCATCCCACCACGAGCCTTCCAGTAGTCGGAAGGCCAGACAGAACGGCTCTCTGCCAGGCAGCGTTGGGCCCGAGCCAGGTGACTTGACCCTATCAGCCACACTGAAAGCAACACAAACAAGGCCATTGTAATTGCAGTAATTTGTATTGATTCGTAAACCTAGTTTATTGTGTAATACAATTGTTGATTGTATACCATTTGTTGGTTTTTTCTGGGTTAACACATTGTTTCAATTTGGGAATCGACCAATAACCCAGTCCATTGGCATGATTAAATAAGGACTGTGCACTGAATCATTAATAAATAGATTAATATACATCAAAATATTGAGATTTCAGTCAAGGAAAGTGTTGTTCGAACAGTTTGAGTAAAACCTTCAAGCAATACGTGCTGGCCCAAGTCTAGTATCTCTTTATAGTGGCACGAGTGTAGCGGCCATAAAATGTCCGAGTCCCGTGATGGGATTCGAATCACGGACCTTCTGATCTGAGGTCGGACGCCTTGTCCACATGACCAAAGAGGTTAACCCCGTCAGCAAGCTGACAAGGTAAGGGTGTCATCTGTGGGATGACTCCACGCCCTGCTACATACTCCCTCGTCAACGGAAGGCACGTCCCGGACAGCATAGTAGGGTACTGAGGCTTATTTTGCTCAAATTTGATATGAAAGTGCTCAACCCCACGTTGGACGCCAATGTAACGGCCATATAATTTCCGAGTCCCGTGATGGGATTCGAACCACGGACCTTCTGATCAGAGGTCGGACGCCTTGTCCAGATGACCAAAGAGGTTAACCCCGTCAGCAAGCTGACAAGGTTAGGATGTCATCTCCACGCCCTGCTACACGAGCAGTATCAAGGTATATGTAATTCCATGTCCTAACCTGAAGAAATCCGGCGATAAATCAAAACGACATAACAATACGTATTTTGACTAGCAACCATTCATATGAGGAACGTTCAATGAATTTCTTGCGAATCATAATATTTTTGCAGCGGAAACACAACTGGAAACTATATTTTATTTCCTCGGATTCGGACAAGACAACATAAGGCAAATATTGAATAATTTTTTTTATTGTTTTGGCTTAATTGGGGATTCTTGTGGAGCCTGTAGCACACTGTTTATTGGCGAAATAAAACGCTACTAAATTACCCTGATTGGTAAGCTAACTACGGTTGTACGTGCTATTGAGTTACGCCTTCAGTCGGCTGTTGTCTGACGCCAGACAAGCTAACAAGATAACAGTGTAGCTGACAAACGATACCCCGACGGGTATAAACTAGCTACAGATAACAGTGTAACTGACAAACAATACCCCGACGGGTATAGCCGACAGAAGGTGTATAGCCGACCAAAGCAACTGTGAATGAGGTAGAAGATATCATTTTATATACTTACATAAGCAATTTATAGTATATGTGTCAATAGGTGTTGGAGGACATCACCTACACGGATGAGAAGAATATCAAATAATACTGGGAACGGTAAAGCGAACGATGACCTGCAAATAAAGGTGGTGGTGTGTGTGGAGGTGGGATATCGATTGCACTTAAAAATACACCACGATCAATGGCTGACTGCAGAGAACAAACGGAAAGGTTGCGCATGCGCACGACTTATGTTTACCTGATTAATACCAAAATATGGACTGATAAACGAACAGTGGTTGAAATGCATACACATATTTACATAGTTAAAACGCCAAATACGGACTGATAAACGGAAGATGATCATAATGGGACTTTGAGGTAATTACGTTCTGTCATACAAAATTAGGAATAATTTAATAAACAGTGATTTTACAAGGCGCATGTGTATTCCAATGGTTTTAACAAAAGTAGGAATATATAAAATGGAAAGTGATAATACCGCTGTGATGCAATGTAAGGTTATAAAAACCCAGGTTAGAGATACAAGTAGGAGACATAAGCATAGTGTGCTATGTACACGAAGGGACCTTGTCCGACCAGAGGATGCCATAAACTATACCAAAATATTTAAGTACCAAACTATGTGAGGAGTTGATGTACAGCGCACACGACGTGGGCTTGCCATAGATGACGTGGCTGTGAATTCACGAATGACCACCCGCGTCGCTGTTTGGGGATAAGAATGTTAAGTGTTGATACGAAAATATGTACAACACGCACAAATTAATCTGTCCATTGCGACTTTAAGGAACGCTCATGATCATCGTTAACTAAGTTAACGTAATAAGTTTACTGTTGTAAAAGTATTCATATACAGGTATCACCTGTTTCTCGATTGAATTAAGCCAGTATATGTTTTTCAGCGTCTATATATAGCTAATGACCACCGTGAAGCTGCTTATGTTGATTAATCGTACATGTATACTTATGACATATATCAAATTGAATACATTTGCGTTAGTGATTAGTGATTTTAGATAAATATATTATATATCATATGAATAATCAACAGATGGTAATCTATTGTTCAAAATTGGTACACATCATTGTCATTGACCAATGCTGCATATGGCGCACGTTGTTCAATAAAGTGTCTAGGTGAACGTCATCAATATCTTGTAGAGTCCAAAACTGACTGATATCGTCATCTGATGGAAGCAATCAGCTCCCGATTTGAGGCCTAGGGAATGTTCACACACTCTGCCTGCAGTGCTCGTGCCCCCACTGTCGGAGGTTCTGTACTGTACTTGCAAAATTACTGCTGTGTTAACTGCAAAAGATTTCTAATTTTAGACAGATCAGCTTGATCTGGCTAATAGTGGTGAACCCAAGTTTGGTGAACAACTTTAAAATTAGTTCCAACGATAGATGATAACCGCTGTTCACACCTCAGAATTTTCTCAACTCTGTCTCATGAGAGATGCCTTCTGTATTGGCTATGTGACGTGTGGTGAGTCGTCGATAATCCATAATCATATCATGTATTCATCAACATTTTCCTAAGTAACGAAGGAAGGAGCATGTCACTCGCATCAAGTCCAGTATGGGTGGCTGTTGCAGTTAGCCCAATTTGGTGAAAGTCTAGGACATGCATCACTTTGGTTTTTCTCTCACATTAAGCTTATCCGAAAATATAATCTAATGTACAAAAGGAGAGGGTCGTCAACTCTCTGTAGGTCATGGGCTACATAGGTAGGTCATGGGCTACACACACACACACCCCCCCCCCCCCCCCCCCCCCACCTCCCAACAAAACCATCTTTTTCTGAAGCCTTATATAGTATGTCCTGAACATGAAATCATATGTTAACATTGAAAATATAGGGATGCACTTCCTGTTTTCATCATATTTGTGGAGGTACCCTCAAAATCGCGATTTTGCAATCCGCGTCAAACGTCATTTTTGTACTGAAACAAAAAGGTCAATAAATGTCTTTACAATTCTCCAATCTCTATGTGTAATATATCAAATTAAAGCTGAAGTTATTCTGGTTACAATTATGTTATTTGCATTTAAATATAATGAGAAGTATAGTGGCTATTAAACCTTTACTTAGTAGAACACACATATATGCAAATTTGCTCCACGCCGATCGCTCAAACTTTCCATAATTTTCTATTATATGGAAAAATAAATACAAGGTAATCACAAAAACAATTACAGGCTATAATCTGGTGATATATAAATTTATCTTGAAAACAAATCATTTGAATAAACATTATAATTGGACACTTGAGAATTCAAACTACACGTGCCAGGGTCATGTCCCAAAATATCACCTTCACAATAGATCACACACACACACACACACACACACACACACACACACACACACACACACACACACACACACACATTACATATTTAATTAAATATAACACAAATTAAAACAAATGGATGAATTTTTCCAGGCACTGACAAAAGTGTATGTGTGTGTAACATATCAACATTTTGTCCTATTTTTCAGACTGATGCATAAGTGATATCTGAAACGAGAGACATGGAGACAGGCGATGAGGTTGAACCACCACCTAAGCGTCGAAAGGATGGCCAAAGTGTGAAGAGGAAACAAAAAAAATGTGCATTGTTCACATCCCAGGTTTGAAATACAGAACATTCAAACTGTTTTCTGCTACAAAGGATGCCGAAAACAGACTTATCAAATTGAAGGAGATACGCGAAAGGAGATTATCTCAGCCTCCGTGTTCTGTTCATCGAATGAAAGAGACATGTCTGCTTATACCGGACACAATAGCCGCACACCATGGATACCACAGAGAGTGTTACCAACGATTCACCATGAATCTCAACCGCCTCTCCTTACACTCTGATCACTCAGGACCATCATGTTCTAAATTAAATTAACTATACTGGAGATAGCCAAAAAAAAATGATGAAAAACTTCTCACAAGGATTCGAGGGCAAGACTTTTTTGCCTGTGAAGCAAAGTACCACAAGGCATGTAGGGGTAAATACACACAGAATCCTGATATATGGAGGAGTACAAATGATGAAGACAAATCAAGGCAACTGAAGCTCAAAGGAGGCCCATCATATAGCATTCAGTGCTGTATGTAAAGTGATCGATATGGATATGAGCAGAAGAAGATGATGAAACTGACTGATCTGTGTAAGATATATATTGAAAGCTTACAACTAACTGAGTTTCCAAATCCCAACTACCGTCGTGAGAACCTCAAAGGAAGGCTGGAGAAACACCAGACGTTTAAGGACAGGCTGTCTTTCTGTATGTTGAACAGCACCGGAAACTTTCAATATATTGTATATTCTTCAGATATTGATGTCAGCAATGCTGTTAGACGTGCATATGAGCTCGCTTCTTTAGATATGATCAAAGAAGTTGGAAGTTATCTGCACAAGATTATTCTTGATAGCATTGCAAAAACAAAGGAATTGAAATGGCCCCCATCTGCTCAGGTTCTTTGAAACGTTGATGACGTTCTGCCACCACAACTCCAGAAATTCCTCAACTATGTCCTAACAGATAAAGCGACCACCCACACCTCTAAATCATATCGACTAGTGGTGTAACGATACGGCGATACAGTATTGTATCCCGATGCGCAGCCCACGATACGATGCAACTTTGGAAAGTATGTATCGCGATACATACGATATTTTCATAACACAGTTTTACTTACTTTTAAACATGAAATACGTTTAACAGTTTCA